CGTGATTTTTTGTGTGTAGTTTTCATACTTCAATCTATGTTACTTTGTATGGGTTATACGTACTTCAGTTAGCTTAAGAGCAGAATCAAAATCTGTATAATTGTGTAAATATATAGATGACCCCGATAGTATAAATAAGCGAACTGTCGCCATGATTTAAGCCAGCAGTTGAGTGTCCATAGGGAACTTAGTTTTTGTAGGCGCCATAAGGGTGTGGGGTGGCGTATATAAGTAGGCACCTTGAAGTGATCAGTCTCCATAGTTCTCAGTAGCTATCACACTATTTTAATACACAGTAGAGGATACATATATTCCACATTGAGAATGTGGTTTTGCCCTTCGAAAGTACTCACAGTATATATTATATATATATGAATATGTGTGTGTGTGTGTGTGTGTGTACATAGTGTATGCATAGTGTATGCAAAGTTCAAGATATCTGTATCATGTGAACGGGTGAACGGTGTTATTGCAATTGTATATCGTGTGCATGAATTATATCGTACTATTACACTTTTGTTTTCTACCGTTCTGTGCTGTGGTATTTGTACATACGGTAGTTCACATACACAATTTTATTTTGGTGTCCTCATAGTCACATGTTGATTAGCACGGTTGTATTGCGGTTATGCCGGCAACTTATTTGTGACAACCTCGATGATCTTTTGACAACATCTACTTATACCCACGAGCGACTTATAGCTTATTCTGTATACCTTGATTATTTTCGCTTGGCGTTCGAGTGTACCGAAGTTGTAAATCATTGTCCGCCCTACTTTTCCCATGCTCGCTGCGAAATTGTCATCGTATCCTTTCGTTCCTATAGTGTGACACTTCTGCGTAAACTCGCCTGCAGAAAACAAACATCCCTTGTAACTGCACATGCTGAGGGGGGGGGGGGGAAGGGATCGTTCAATCTATATGATAGTTAGAAAAATACACTTTCTCAAATCTGAATGTACCGTTCTCAATTTCTGACTGTGATTCATATTCAGCTCAAAAGTACGGGAAGAGCAAATACGCAACCGCTTAATACAACGACTGGTAGAGACCGGGGAGAAGGAAAGGTACGCGAACTATCGCTTTTTATCCGAGACAAAGGTGTACGAATTCGATGAGTTTTGAATATGAATGTAGAATGAAGTTGATTTTGTGTCAAACCCCTTTCACAATGCAGTTGAATCTGTTGTTACGACTACCATTAATATTTTTTCCCCACGGTAGAATTTGCTTAGTAGTTACATCCGACTCTTCCATCATATATATAGGCTGAAGGAAGCCTTGAGACAAAATCTAGAGGAATGTGGGTGGAAAGAGAGCGTCACGAATGAATGCAAAAGTGAGTTATAAATTGCCGAACATTCTTTGCATGTTCACTCATTGATTTGTTTACCAATCTGCGGTGTCTGGCCATTGGCTTCCAATTCTATACTTCACATCCAAATATCTCCGGCTGGCCTATTTTTCGCGCGCCGCAATGCCATACCCATACACTGACTCCTTACTTCCTGAAAAAGCAGAACTCATAGAAGACAAGATAGCCGAGAAAGGCGTAAACAAGGTCTCGGTCGAGGACTTGATACCCGAGCTCACGAAGTTTGGCAGAAGTATGTCGTACTCTGGTCATATATTGATTGGGCAAGAATGTCAAAAAAAACCCCGTTTTTCCGAAGCATATTCAATCTCGGTTTAGGAAGTTACTTAATGTAGATTTCGTAGGGAGGTCTATATGCTATATTTTCACACAAACATCGCTCTACAAATATTTTGCAGAAGAGGTTCCGGATCACGTCAAGAATGAGCTTTTGATTGGTATCAAACAAGTTCTCGCGGACCAAAAGTAAAGGCAGTACTAGTCTGAAGCAAATTGGAGCGCTCAATGTAAGAAGATATAAGTGATAGTCTTCGCTCCCAAAATAAACATTCAAATATTAGCAGACATAATGGGTCGATACAGAAATAGGAAATACTTTCAACGATTTTATTAGATCTTGCAGTATTCTAAAAGAGATACGTTATACAATACGTAAATGCCCATTCTCTCCACTGTTTTCCAGACTAAGGATCGTTTCTATTACTTTCAGATTTTTTACTCTTTGTTGGCGAACTCGACACCCTTCTTGATGCTTTCCTTTAGCTCGGGTAGAAGAGCTTCTAGACCCTTCTTCTCGTAGTCGTTCATTTCGGGTAGTCCTAGATTGCACTCCATACCACGGGGCTGTTATAATATTGAATCGATACATTCGTTAGACCATTGAATTCCAGATTTAGTAGGATGAGCATTCACCAATTATCTATACATGCACAAAAATTTAGTCTTGGGGGAAACTATAACTGAATTTCTGTGCGACGCTGCAATATCTTACAATTCCGTATTCTGCGCGGACGTGTAGCATTCATAAGCAGACGACTGAAGCAATTCATAAGATAAGTATACATTAAAGTTTCAATGTAAGTGCTAATCCAGTTTGGGATGCCACGTGGAGATGCGAGCATCAGATACAAATCATTGAACTCTCTGAAATATACATCCTAAGCCTATACATAGAACTAAACGAAGGGGATGCAAGTTGTAGACGGTTCGAATCAATTAGGGACTCTTCCAACACCGTCCATCATCTAGAAACACAAAAGCTTATTCTTTTACGAAACGCCAAAGGCTATCTAGTTGAAGGTAACTGAAAATATAAATGCATTCGCAACATCTGTATGTATATATATATATATATACATAAAAACATTGTAGGCATAAAAAACAAACAAAACCCTTAGCTCGTATTCAGATAGAGAACTTACTCCAAGAACAACGGGGGTGGAGAAGTACTCGGCAGAGGTGACGTCGCTCTGAACGTATGAGCATTCTACATTGTACTCGCCATCTAGACCCTTTAGGACGTTGCTGGCGAAACGGGCGCCGGCGAAGGCCATAGATAGAGTGGCGGATCTGAAGGGAAGGATAGAAGAAAAAAAGCAATATGAATACCTACAACAGTTGTAAACAAACTAAACACGCGCTGCAGACAAACTTACGAACAAAATGTGAAAGTATACAGGAACAAGGCAGTTTCAGACACATACCCAGTTCCAGCCTTGGCCTCAACAACCTCGGTTCCAGCGTTTTGGATACGGGTGGTTAGTGCATCACGCTCGGCATCGCCAAACTCAGCCTAGTGATTTTTTTTGTTGACAGAAGAACATACATGGAGACGGCAAATTTGTTAGCGAACGCACAAGTAGGTGGCAAAAGTGTCAGCGAGAAGACCGGACACAAACACACACACAAACACAGGTGCGACAATCATGTTTCAATATACGCGGAAAGTCAATCTCGCCTCCGAGTCAATAAACTGATTCTATTCAATCTACAACAATGGCATATACTTATTTTCTTAGTTCCGACTGCCAGAAGGTTTGTGTACATAGAAAACGAGCTGGAACGCAAATTTACCTTGGGGGTGACCTGTGAGAGGATGGGTAGAATGGTGATACCAGCATGTCCTCCGATGACGGGCACGTGAGTCTTCTGGGGATCGGTACCCTTGGCGTCACCAACGAACTTGTTTGCACGTACTACATCAAGGGTGGTTACACCAAAGATCCTATGGAGGGGCGGGAAAAAACGAATAAATCAGGATTTATGTGTAAACAAAGACGTCAAGAGTAAATAGATACCAGAAGCGGTAGCCAGGATATCACGCTAAAAGAGTGTTATTGCCTGAACATGAATTTAAAATCAAAATCGTTGCTCAAACCAAGCTTCAGTATACGCGAGATAAATCGGCATCAGAAAAAATAAATACGTCCCTACATACACGGATCTAGATATTATTATCAATATTGTAAAACCAAAAACAGTACATATCAAACGGCATCATACACAATGTCACATACTTGCGAGGATTGTACACTCCGTGCTTCTTGAACACCTCTGAGGCGATGGGCACAGTGGAGTTGACAGGGTTGGAGATGATGCAAAGGGCAGCATCGGGACAGTACTTGGCACAGCCTGTGGCGAGGTTCTTGACAATTCCAGCGTTGGTCTACAAGAGAAGGAAGTGATGTCTATAGATCAGTACTTGTGTGTAGATTCAAGAAAATGTACCCGAGTAGATGCAAGTATATATCAATATATTATCGACATTATTTGTTCTTTAATGCATGTATATAACTTACGTTGAAAAGATCGTCACGAGTCATTCCAGGCTTACGGGGAACTCCGGCGGGGATGACTACTACGTCACAGCCAGTAAGAGCTTCCTCGAGCTCAGCATCACCAGTGTGTCCTGTGACCTGAAGTTGCGATATAAGTGTATTTTAGAAGTATGAATACCGGAGGCACATCTGAGTATAATCTACAAATCTTGTAGCGATTGATGAGCGCTTACTTTTAAAAGCTTCAAATAAACAGAGTGCCCATTGGCAGTAGTTGAGAACAGTTACACGCGTCGAACGGAATATCGCAAAGAAAACAATACGACCACCCCTACTGCAAAGCACTCGTACGAGATACATTGCACACCTTGTTCAGTAAGAATGGGTATATCATGGTAATCTGAAGATAATATATACTGAACCTTGGCGTACAAACGAGATACAAGAATCATAAGATTGCTTACCTTGCAGGCGAAGTTGTTGTGGCTCACGTCGGCAGCAACACCGGGGGTGTTGACCACATCGAAGAGAGACAGGTGAGTCACACGGGGGTCCTGAGACATAAGTAGAGAGCATGGCTGTCCGATACCTCCAGCGGCACCCAGGATGGCAACCTATCATCGATATGCAAGACAAATATTAATGAAAGCACATATTCAAACGGGTGAAAATACGTTACACACAATGATATATATATATATATAAATTTTATTCTTATTACTGTGCCATTTGCTCACAACGAGTGTAAGAATACCGTTCTCAAATGCCTCTTCGATAAACAGACAATATGTACTACTGAACTTGTAGTGAAATATAAATTTATATTCATACAATGCAGTAGGCGCAAGTGGGAGATATCAAGAACGTTATAGAATACTACCTGACGAAGGCATACTGTCAAAGGGCTGAGAGCACTTAATCTGTCCATTTAAGGACAGAAAAACAAAAGCTGCAATCGCACTTTTGACATACAATCATACACGATATTCAACAGTGGTGTAATATACAGCTTCTATTTGTGCAACACTGCAATAAAAATGGTTAATCAACTTCGATAGTGACAACACAGCCGAAATAATCTTTTTGAAGTGCTGCTGTTTATAAACACCCAAATTCGGACTATGTAGATATGTCTGACTCCTTCGCAAAGCTAAACTTTCTCATCCAGAAAACCAACAGCACTGAAAATCAATACATACACTACACGCACACATACACTTGGTGTATTGACAAGTCTACAAGCTATATAACACGTGTAAGGAATTCGAGGAGTCCGAGCACGCCGGGGTTGTATGGTAGTTGAGCAAGCGGTCACTCGGACTAAGTAGCTCATGTTATAACAGGTGATCGAATCGCGGTAAAAGCAGTTAAGAAGAATTTTTGAACTTGTGAACGTATTTACATCGATATACTATGGTAATATATATAACGTACATATTTTAAGGGGGAAAATACTTTTAGGCGGACTGTTTGATCATTGTAGAGATCAAGCCTGTCGAGCAATTGCACGGAATAAAAAACCCTCTTTCTATCTGTTTCCATCGAAGTGCTCATATGAGAGCGCCAACTCTTAACAGAGACTCACAGATGCACATACATAAATACACAGCTTACAGTTCTGAACTTGCATATACTGAATTCCCTCTACATCTATGTATCATCAACTTCTAGTTATAAGATCTCCAGCGCGCACTATCAAGGTCCGCCACGCAAGAAAATATTTCTGAAATAACACCATATTGTTTTAACAAGTACACAACTTGTAATACTAAAAGTATATTTTATAGTTCTTGTTAGACACCATTTAGTTCTAGAACTACAACTCACACATCTTGTAGTACTAAATAGACATGTTATAATAGTAAACACAAATTGTATAGTTCTAAATCCACACGTTTATTTCTAGATACAACTGTAAGTGCATACCTTGTAGTTTTGGGCACGGGCGGTGGAGAAGGCTCTCACACCAGCCTTGGTGGTGGTAGCAGATAGACGGGTGAATGACATGATTAAATAAACACTGCTTTAAAAACTCACAAGTTCAGACTGAGCTCGATTTGAGATAAGCAAGCTCCTTTTGAAAGTATTTTTTTTTGTAATATTTTACGGATTTGGCATAGCCTTCTAAATTGAACAAGAAGGCTATGGAATTGGAGTCTTTTGTTTATTTATTTATTTAGAAAGGGCAATGTTCGCATTCGCATGGAGTTCCATGGAACCAATCCACGCGCTCCCTTTCTCAGACTCCCCGTGACACACCAGTCTCATCAGTGATCACTGATCAGTCTCTCAGACATCAACCTCACACTTCACCGGTTCACCAACGTTTTCAAGTTTTTATATTGATGTATATAAACCATGTTGAGATACGTAGGAAAAACCAACGTATGGCAGAACGTCCGGTTTTACAAAATGTATGCACAAAAATATTTTATTACGATTTATTTTGTACAGTAATAAATATGTATCAAAATCATAGCATTCTGAAGTCAAACAAAAAGGCTGACAAAATAATAAAATGATCGTGTGACGCCATTTTAGAAACATACTACACGCATACGCGATTATACTGCATACCCTTGACAACGTTTCTCGGCAAACTTTAATCAGTATACAATACAATATGGGGGGTTATGATTATACGAGATCATCTCGAATAGGACCTGTAAAGCGCAATTGGCTACAAAAGAAGTACTTTCTATGGGAAGTGACTTTCGCCACATACATGCTGGAGCCTTGGGAGCGATTGTTATTTGGTATGTCTTTTCACTTATTGATTTGTTATTAGCAATTTCGGAGTGATGTTGGCTCGATACATAGTTTTCTGATATTTTGGATTGTGCTATTAATTAATTTATCGGAAATTTAGTCTTTGAAAGGTTATTGTCAGAAATGTATTCCTATTGCGTGATTGTATTTGTATACTTGAATTATATCCTCTCGTTGAGGATATCTTCCTGCAAACAGCATATTTGCACCTTGATTGCTATTTTTATATCTTAAATTCTGTGTGTGTTGTATTTCGTTGTGCGACCAGTTTAGAAGTCGCGTATCGATATATATATATATATATATATGTATAAATATATATATATATATGTATATATAATTATATATATATATATATACTTATGTATATATATATATATATATAGTGATATATGGAAATATACATATACTCTACTGTGATCATAATGATCTAGAGTATGCTTTCTTACTTGCTAGTCAACTTATGCTCAGTTCTATGCTAGTCTTTGATTAATTCTACGAGAGTGCGGCTGCACTTTTAATAAATTATCCACCTCTTCAGGTGCCGATTGTGGTATAGATGAGGATTTTCTAAGCTTGTTTGATGTCCATTGCCCTGTTGAATATGATATATATACACATAACATCGACCATTTTGTATCGGAAAAACTGTTGTTGTGAAACGTCAACGCTACATATGGAGCAGTCTTTCTATCTACATAATGAGCCATGCAGGCTTAACTTTCTCTACCTTTTGAACGGTGGTTGTAAGTGTGATTTAGACGATAATCATGGGGTTCAAATTACTTGCGCATTCTACAGTTGTCTAGTTGTTAAATTACCGGGGACTATTAATGGCTTTCTCGGATATAAGAAAATAGTTATCATGAAGCCCACGGTGTGCATTACTGCGAGTGAACAACATCACCTGGATTGGTTTCAGATTGTAGATTTTTTTGTGAAGTAATATCGATATCACTATCAATCATCAATAAGATCCTTGTAAGGACTTTCTGTGCTTAAATTTCCATGTATATTAATCTTTGCACTCCTTTGTCTCCAGATATCATCTGGTTCACCCTCAGCCTGCTGGCGTTCTATTCCCTCAGCCTATTCCTGCCGGACTTCGGTATCAGCAGGACCATCTCAACACACATCAAAGAGTCAGGGGTTATAGAATGGGCACAGATACAAATGGTACAACTCGTGGACAAGGTACACGGTGTATCGGAAGACGTCAAAAAACAAGGGGAATATGTTAAACAAGCGGCCAGTTAAGCAATAGGGACTCGAAGCTCAGCGCAACCATACAGAGCATAGTTTGGAAGATTGTGGAATGCGATTACGTATGAACCCTGTACGAACCATGACCAACTCAAATAAGTTGCCAACCACCTATTTAGCAATATTATTATTATCTAGAGAGGGTGAAAAGGATTTACTTTAAAATGGACAAGTTAGGCATCATTCCTTGGCAGCTGTAACCGCTGTCTGGAAGTATGTCCGGGATACGACGTAGAATCGTGCGAATTTTTTATCCCCTGGGCCCAACGAGATTTTTTTGAAATACTCGAGTGTGGGCGTCTTGCCCAAAAATGAGAAACTATCTGTTATTTATCTGGAAAAGTTTGTTTCAACAAAAAAATTCATCATCAACTATACCTTATCCGTATTCGTAATGAATGAGTCATCAATAAATATTCGAAACCTTCGACTTTCAAGTTTCAGGCTTTCGGCTAATCGGCATCAACTTCTCTATAAATAAATGTTTTTACGTTGATACAGTCACAAATTTACACCATACGATCGGTAGTTGTAAGCGCGATGTCATTAGATACAGTTCGGCTCACCCCAGAGGGTGGAATTATACTCAATGAGGGAGAGAGGTGTGTCTTTTTTGACTGTATATGTGTATGGCTGATTGTGCCTAGAATTATATGTCGTGCTACACTACGGGTTTCCGGTCAAGATGGATACTTCCAACCATATAACTGAATGGTGTGTGACTGCGCTATTTACTATATATATATATATATATATATATATATATATATATATATATATATATATATATATATATATATATATATATATATATATATATATATATATATATATATATATTATATATATATATATATATATAT